ACTTTACGAGATAGCATCCTTACCCAATTTAGTGGAAATTCTCCAGATCCGCCACAGCACGCTGGGGTACAGACAAAAACCACACCACGCTGGGCATGGTGTGATCCTCCAACGTCTGGCCAAAGAGTCTTCTCTTCAGAAAATGGTCCAACATTCGGGGGAAGGGTCCGGTTTCTCAACAGCATTATGTGTGAAGATAATGGTGCACCGTTCTCTTTTTTCCGATTCTGTCAAGGAACCCGCAGCTAGATACTCATTTAAGGCTGGAGTCGGCCGACGCTGACCTGTCTTGAAATCCCGCTGAATTTCCCCCCTTGCAATGCTCGACTTTGACTTGCGTTTGTAACTCTCTGCCTTCATGGTCCCTTTCAACCAGCAGAAGGCAAACTCTTTGTGGGGGGTCTAGCTGGCTTCCCAGGCCTCCGGCTGCGTTTTCTTTTTTGGTCTTGAGGGAGGGGTGCTCTTTCAGCCCACCTCGCAAAAAGGCCCCGGCGTCCCCGGTGCTGAGGTGAGGCGCTCGCAGCAGCAGCTGTCAGAGGCAGAGGAGAACTGGCAGGCGCAGGCGCGGGCCGTGAGGGGTGGGGGGACCGGGGGACCCCGTGGTTTTGCCTCCGAGCCCGAGTTTTTTTCTTCTGGCCAAAAGCACATCGAGCCCAAGGCCTTTGGATGTGAATTGCAAAGGTCCGCCCCGAAAAAGAGTTGGGATCAAAGCAGGGTTGGAAAAGCAGGGCGCGTTCGGATGGATTTGTTTGTAGCTGATTCATGTGCGATACTGCCCATCCGACATCGCCGTTTCGCGCCTTTTTTGCCGTGCCGTCTCGAGGCTAAGCTGTTATGCTTTCCGGATAATCGCATTTCCTTCTGATACCACGTGGAAGGTACTAAAGTAACCTCCAAACCTCCGATTGGGAAGCTGAGCAACTCTGGACCGCAAAAGTTGTGAAGGTTTCTCCATAGTGATTCAAAGTGGGTGAAGTGATGAACATCTGAATGAGTGTGCCTCAAAATAATTTAGCCCCTAGAATGCGTGTATCCTTTTAGCCGTCCTCAAACCAACCCCGGCTGAAGAAGTAACGAGCCTCTAAAACGACACCCAAATTGCTTCACTACAAATCTGTACTGCAGCGCATTGAAGGTTCCTGATTTAAATGTGTTACACTGATTAGTATCCGAATAACTATGAACTTAGAATACAGGAACTACCTCAAAAGTGAACATGCATCCCCACATTTTGTCTGATGTCCACCAATTCGGCTCCAGTTTCAGAATATGCGCAGAAATTTGGGACTCCAAGTGGTTTCCTTTTGGTTCCCATGGAAACCATCCAAAAAAGGGCAACCCGCAAACATGGGTGCGGAACAAAAATAGGTAGCCGAAATGGAACCCTGGTACAGGGAAAGAAGACTAAAACCTTGGGTGCCTGGTATAGTTTTGACCCACACGCGCTGCAATCAGTGGAAGTCAAATCAACCCGTACCCCTCCCCCTGCATGAACCCTTTGAGAGATCGGAAGGACCCACCTGCAGTCTCCATGACCCTTATGGATCAATGGCCCCATGATTTTCGGTAATGGCCAACCAATTTTTAAGGGTCATAGGGAGACTTTTGACCCACGCCCACAAGAAGTTGGTAAAAGCAAAACCCTTCAGTCCCTGGTGGTTTCATTTTGACCCACACCCACAGAAGTTGGCAACTCGGTTTCCCAGCCGAAACCCGGTTTGAACTTCCGCCAGGTGCGCGCAGTGCAGAGCGCCGTGCTCGCGGAGGAGCGGCATCTGGCGAAGCTACTGGCGCGCCGGGAACGCCAGAAGCGGGGGTGGCTGTGGCCGGTCCACCGGGGCTGAGCTTGCGCCAAGCTGAGGGGTTTAGGCTCTTGCCTGTCTTGAAAACAAAAAGGGGGGAAACGGGTGTATGCGATTTCTTGGGTGGTTGATTAAATATGAGGCTGAAATGGTTTGTTTGGGTTGGTTCGGTGTCCTTGGAGCCTTTGGAAATGGATCGTGCGCATGACTTTGGACAATTCGGATGGGCCATGTGAAGTCTGGGGAGCGGTTGTATTTGCAGAAAGGGGCCCCTTTTTCAAGAATTGAAACCGGAAGGCCGTGCTGTAAGCTCCCAGCCACAGATGCTTTCAGCTGGAAGAACAATAAACTGACAAATCAAATCAAGCCCTGAAGCTACCTCAAACGTGGAGTCAAACATGCCAAAGGGTTGAATTCAAGCACTCAAGAGTGCCCGGATTTATGTTAAATTGGGCGGACAGAGCCCCCAACTTTCCTCCCCCCAGTTTACCCCAAGCCAACATAAAACAACATGCCGCTCAACCAGCATTTTCCAAACACTTTTTTTTTTCCCATGTTTGAAATCCTCTTGGTACGGTAACCAAAAAGCGGGGGGCGCCTGGGCCCGGCCGAAGTCTCGATCAGATCGAGGTCGGGAGTCGGCCAGCCTGGCCTCCATGGAGACCCAGCGTGCTCGGGTCCCAGCGGGCGAGCAGACAGCTGCGTCTGTTGCTTGAGGTACCACCGGACGCTCAGACTACCCCCAAAAACCCTTGGGCTCTCGCAAAAGATTGCTCGGTGAATCCCCATTTATGGTAGTTTGAGGGTCCAGGCATCCATTGTTTTGGGGGGGGGTGGGGGGGGGTTGGCTTCTTAAGGGAAATTAGAAGGACACCAGGCCCCGTTTTTGAGGGAACCATCTTTTTCTACCAGAGCCGTCTTTCACGTCCTCTCTGGAAACAGTGTCCAGCCGTTTGAGAACTGAAAAGCGCTGAGACTTCTATTGTTTGTTGCGTCATTGTCTCAGTTGTTGAGTGGCTCTCATTTTGCTGTGTTGTTTGGTGTTCCCTCCTTAAAGCGGCCAACCCCAACCGGGTTTTCTTTGTTACCGCGGTCGCCGGGCTCTTTGGTATCCCTTTTAATGACCGACAACCTCTCCATATCTAGCGCAAGCTGCTCAATGGGCACAGCTCCGAACGGATTTCTGGAAGTTGCGTGGAGGTGTTCATATGTCACAAGAGTCGGCTTAATGACAATTTGTTTGGGAAGCTTTAATGCTTCAATTAGCATCTTGATTGTTTATATCAAAAAAACTGATGTCGCAAGACACTGGCAGAAATCCGGGGATGTGTTGAAGCCCAGTGATTGCACGGACCATCCATCCAAGACTATCTGTGCGGATGGGAGTCGGGACAAACCCCTTATGTAAGGCTCATTTAATAATACGTGCTATGGCTGCCAATTAATTGATCCCCATGACTTGGGGTTTGACCATTCTGGGCGAATTAGATCACGACCTCCTCGATCGCGGCAAAACGCGCGAAATCCCAATGATGAGAGGCATTTACCAGGCTTTCGTTTCTTTCTAAAACATGAATTATTGTGAAGTACTGTAGTTCGGCCGCATCAGTTAGTGCCTTGCCCCGTTTCAAAACCTTCTCCAACGTCCATTCTTTAGATCGTCATCTTGGGTCTTTGCTTTCAACTTCTTCTTGCGCTGGACGGGGCCAACTTTAGTGCATAGGTGGCCTTTTGGAAAAATAGATGGCCCTGGTAAATGGGATTAAAACCACCTATACCAGTGCCACCTATTTTTTAGCCAAACTAACCTAAAAAGGAGACCTATGCTTTAGTGCTGATCTTATGCTTCTCCTTCTGCGTTGCTAGGGGTAGCTTCCCAAGGTGCGGTCGGATCTGGCCAGTGCCCTGGCCAACGCTCGCCTCGAGCATGGCCGCCTGCAGGCGGGCTCCCTAGGCTGTGGCTCCTGTTTTTGAAAGTGATTCCCTTTGGGCACGGTATCATATCTAGGTCCTCTAATAGTGCCCTTTTGCCCTTTTTTGGGGGAGGGTTCCCCTGCTAAAATAGACTACAGAAAAAAGGGTACCCTTATTCTAGCCTCTCTACTGGAGGACCCAGATATAAAGGGAAACCAAGAGGAACACGTGACTTTTTGGGGGTCCCCTAGCAAAAGGCACCTAAATGGGCACAAGTGCGAGGATTGGCAACGCGAAATGGGTGACAACATTTACATGGACTGATGTCCGCCAACCGTTTCGGATGAACGCGGTCCCTAGGGCACCTAGAAGATCAGTCTCTTCTTAAAGGCACTCCCTATCAGGTGCCATGTGGTTGGGAGGAAGGGTAACACACAGTTCGAGTTCGCACATGCTTATCCAGCCTTTCACAAAATCAGATACGGCTTATCCAAGAGGGCTCAATCAACATGGATGTTCCCAAACATGGAAACTGCTGATAAATCAGCCCTCGTAGTTCCCCTTGAAACATGTCACGGCTTGGCCCTTTATCAACCGGATTCAAACAGTTTCGTCCATCCCAACTGCTGGGAGGGGCATGAAGTTTGTCCATCCACATGACCCACAGTATTCTGCGGTCCTTCAAAGCGATTCGTTTCAAGGGCAGACAGCATATGGAACATAGACCAAACTTATGAGTCAGAATCAAAGCCCAGGTAAGTGAAGGTAAGGGTGGACCATTTCAATACCAGGTTTTGATTGTGACTCATATGATTTTCTGCGTAGCCCTTGTTTGCGGGCCAAACACGTCTTCACAAGTCGAATTCACCAGGCCTTACGGGCAGTGCCAAGAGAGCGCTGCAGCTTCGAGCGGGGTGCCCCATGGAAGGTGTGATCTCCGTTGAGATCGGAAGCTTCCATTTGCTCAAGAATATGTTTTATTGTCCCTTCTTGGTTTGAAAGGGAATCTATCACTACAGGAAATGTGTGTTTTTCCTTGGCTTAAGCAAATGGGAGTAAGTTTGAAGGTTGCACGTGTGGACTGGAAACAACAACACATGAGAAGGTTCATTGGGGGGCGGAGCAGCTGCTTAGGACACGCTGAGACAGTGATCTGATGATAGCAACCTCACACAAGGCTTTGCTTAGTTACCTGAGAAGGTGTTTTTCCTTCCGGGCCACTTATTTTGATTTTCATTACTGGAACAACTCAGAGACCTGAACATGAAAAAGGGCATTCGTCTTTTACCTCTTTTCTTGGCACCTTAAGCACCCCAGGACACCCTTTTCAGAGGTTTGAAGTGTCCGGGAAGCCCTTTTCCAATCAAGGAAGTTGATGTTTTGGCACCCTTCCAAGTGTTTGGAAGATCGTCGGGGGAACCTTCCGTTATTTGATGTTGCGCACGGCGATGCCCCTTGCCTATTGCTCCTTCAAAGCTGATGGGAAGATGGCTGTCTGATTGAACAGATTTTGCTGTCTAATGTTCACCAGAGTCACTTCCTGATTCCTGAGTGGAGCTATGGACACAAGTGAATACTTGTTGTTTGCCACTATAATTTGCCTTCCAAACAGTTTTCAGTCCAGGAACTCAGGGAGTGACAAAGACATGTCTGTTTGAGTTTTGGGGTAGTGAAACGCCGCGGAGGCTCAGACTTGTATTGTTTCCCCTCGGATTAGGTGGAGACAGAGTTAACTTACCCACAATTTGTGAACTATTCTAACGAAAGCCTCAACGTTGGGCAGACCCCTTCTTCAACACCTGAGTTCATGGCCAGACTTCAAGTGGCATGTTGGCTGTTTTGCCCCAAGGTGGTGTCCTTGGCTTTTCCCAGACAGCGAAAGGTGACTGTCACCTTTTAGGCCAGGCTGACAAGTTCAGGAGGATGATTAGCTTTGCAGCCCAGTCGCCCAATTGGTGTCACCTGTGTTGTTTGCTTCCCTCTGTTGATTCGCGAAGTGCATTGACAGATAATTGAATCCCGAGCCCCGACACTGAGTGTTCTCCCCTTTTTCTGTTTTTTGGGGCCCAAAGAATGGGGGGCTCCCTTTTTGCACCCTCCAAACTTGTTTAAACCCTTCCCTTGTTTACCCTCGAACTCTGCAAGCAGTCTGCTTAGGAACCCTCTGCAGCCTTATTTCTCTTGGTCCCACGTTTTTTTCCCCACGACCACTTCCACTGGGACCACATCGCGGACTTTCCTCAGGCCTGCGCTCGCGGCTCCCGCGGCTCCCGCGAGCGATCGCTGGATGCCCGATGGAGTGCTTCCATTTTGGAATGAAGACCAAGGGAAGCAAACGTGTTGCTGTCTAGGGGCAACTTCCCCATTCCAGGGATCCTTCTTTCTAGAAAACCACCCAAGACCCTGGGGAAATGGCGATCGGTTTTTGAAAAGAACAGGCTGAAAAGATTGGGGGAACCAAGGGAACCAAAGATGTTGATTGCGAGTTTGGATGTTCAGGTAAGGGACGGTTCATTGGCATCTTGGTAAGGCATTCCTGCTCGCGAGGGGAACCAAGGGAACCAAACATGTTGCTTGCCGATCGGTAAGGCAGTTTGCGAGTTTGGAAAACCTTCGAGGCTTTACTGTTTGGAGATGGAGTTATGAACCTATCAAAACAAGTGCGGCCTGCTTCGTGCTTTCCTTTTAATTCACCCAGTGCTTCCTGGTCATAACCCAGTGCTTCCAATTCCCTGCCTTTCACTAAAAGGTTTATGGACAATGGCAAACGGTTACCTCTGGTGGTAACTGGGATGCAATGGGTGAACTGACCCACTGTGTTTCGCCACTGCATGCAACCAGCGAGAAGACAACATGCTAAACCTACAGGTACACATGCCGAAGGGATACCTATCGTGACTGAAAGCACTGGGTAACCTGAGTTTGCGTGTTTGCCTGTTCCTGCTTCAGTTCCCTTTCAGCTCGCCAAAGGTACCTTGTCACTTTTTGTAGGGTGCCTGATCTGTTTGGGCATTGGCTGTCACAGCCTTGTCTTGCCCACTAAGCTTCTAGGTCGCTAAACCAATTGACAACCATCGGCACACTCTCGGTATCCAGATTTTGATTCGATTAATTCGTCTGAATGGAATTCGAACATAGATAGTTGTGGAAGCCGGCGTACTTTCAGGTACCACCAGAGTTAACCTTACCTCTAGGTTTTACGTGGAATATTTTATGGTTGCCTGCTGTGGAAGCAAGGGGGGGGCGGTTTAGGGTTCTATTTTCTGCGAGTGGCCAAGGGAAGCCCCTTGCCACCAGTCATGGAGATGCTAATCTGTTGGTATCAGATAGGCTGATTGTCCACCACGTTGCTTTGAATATGTCTTTCGGACATCCCCGCAGACAGGTTTTCAGAACCCTTCGAGAGCCCTTCAGCACCCTTCCTGTGGGGGGGAAGGGGCATGGGGCCCGAGCAGTCCACCCATTGCCTTAGTTGCAACCAGCGTGTTTGCCCATGGTGTTCCTCTCTTCCGTTGAACCTGCTCCCAAGGTCCTCCATCGAAGCATGGCATATCGGGCGGACTCCATGCAGCCATGCGGCTGAAGCTCAAACCGTCGAGGGACGGCTTGATCCGTGGAGCTCGGTCCTTTGATTGCTGTGATTGCAGTTGACATCCGACTGATGTCACGATGTCAAAGACACCTTCCAGCACCCAACCCCACATCCCAAGCACTGTCCAACCAGTGGTTGGGACCCGGATCCTGGTTGAATCACATGGACAAACCCACTTAATCAGACCAGCAGCTGGACCAAGCCATCGGAAACTTCGGCGCAAGATCACCCCGGCGTTGCATGGGTGTGCGACTTGCCCAAAAGGAAACCGGGTCACCGGACGTTGTTTTGCTTTTTCTCCACAGGAACACGAAATAGCAATCCAACACCAGTTGTTTTTTGTTTTTTGTTGGTTGTTTTGTTTACCTCAATGACCACAAGATCAGATCTGTAGCGAAGGCCAGAAGGCCAGGCCGGGCCTGCCATGGAGGGCTGGCTGGAGAAACGGGGCGCCGCGGCCGAGTACACTTGGCAGCGCCGCTGGTGCGCCGCAGCCTCGGATTCCCCCGGTGTTCGGTGAGGGGACACCGAGAGAAACCGAGAGAGCAACCTGGGGCGTTTCTCAAAATAGTTGTTTTTTTTGGAGGGTTTTTAGAGGAAACCAAAAGCAGACTCACCACCTGGATGGGGTCCTTCATTTTGAGAAGCCGCCCAAATCAAGTACGGAACAAAAAGGTGCCCATATATTGTATGTTCCTTTATTTTTTGAGGGGGGAACTGATTGAAGAAACAACCACGAATAGTGCCGATTCTGCTTGTCCCACGACAATCCAGTCTGGGAAACAGCCCGTAAGCCTTAATTGGCACGAAGGGAAGCAAAAGGAAATCTATTTTTGTTTGCTCCAGACCCACCGTAGCACCCTGTTTGTTTTGGGGACACCTTGGAAATCATTGGCAGAACCTTGCGCAGACATCCAGTTCCGCCCTTGTGTCTCGTGTTTGGAGTGGTCATTTCTTGCAATCAGCAATGGCTAGCTGAGTGATTCTGGACAGCATGAGCCCAGTTCTGTTGGAGTATGTTCTAACTGATACAAACAAAGCAAACTGTGTCCGTGAGTACATGTTTTGACTCTTCAGGGCATGCTCAAAATTCATTAAAGATCCATGACACTTTGTTCCTCTTGCCACACTCAGATGCATGTATCCTTGCAGCCGGTGTTGATTCCCCGCGAGATGAGTCGGTGTCAACCGCCGGATCCCCGAGCAGAACTAGGTCCACTGGAACCCCATGTGCATGACACCCCAAAACAAATTCGTAAAGCCAAGAATCCACCGACTCGCACGAACCTGGTCAGTCCCTGTTTGTTCGGCCGGGTTCGGAAGGATATTTTGTTTCGCCCTTCAACATCCGTTGGAATGTGCATCAGAATCATTGACCAGCTAAGGCATGGATGGTTTGCAGGGCATCATGTCTATGCGTGGTTTCATATGGTTTCCGGTTGCCAAGTGGCACCCGTCTTCCATCTTTTGCACATTTCCTGCGAACAGCTGCAAAAAGTTGGTTTGTTGGAAATCCAGTTGGCCCCACTCCTGACGCTCAGACTTGGTGGAGACATGCAAGTTGGCTGGGGCAATGACCAGCTTGGAACACATGCAAGGCTTCGGTGGCCAACTTCGTGGAGAACTCGAAAGTTAATCTTGCTGCCAGGGAAAGCTTCACCTGCTGTGGCAAAAGAAGGAAATCAAGAAAACAAGGAAAGAAAAAACAGCAAGGACGAGAGAGAGAAAGAGAGAAAGAAGGAAGGAAGGAAGGAAGGAAGGAAGGAAGGAAGGAAGGAAGGAAGGAAGGAAGGAAGGAAGGAAGGAAGGAAGGAAGGAAGGAAGGAAGGAAGGAAGGAAGGAAGGAAGCAACTAACACCATGACAGTAATTATCACACCAACCGGAAAAGAAAGACAGCAGTTCACGACATGACACAAGCCAAATCAGAGACGCAGAAATTCCAGGTGTTGGACCCAAGCGGCTTCCACTATTACGCGGACAGCCGGGCGCCCAATGGTCTTTGTCGCTTCGACTGTCAGTTGTGCCATGTGTATGGTCATTTGAGTAGACAAAATGAGTTACCCTCCCATCCATGTTGCCATGGAACCTGACTGTCGGGGGGACGGGGAAGTCTACATTCCTTCTAAAGGAACCATTTTTCTGGTGGGTTCTATGGCAGCGTGTACAGGAGGGTAATGGTACTCGGTTGTTAGCTTCGGTTTGGATCCCACGGCCAAGTTGCGGGCGCTTTGCCGATACAAGCACCGCACGCGGGCGAACGGTACCAATCTTTGGCACACTCTCAAAGTGTCGCGACTGAATTTGGTTTTGCAGTACCCCGCAAACGCATATTTCGTTCTTCCGGCGCATGAGTACCCCACAGCCTAGTAGCCAACCCAGGATTACCTTTTGGGCCTGCGAAAATTCGGAAGGAATCATCTCATGCTTTCCCGAAAATTTCCATGAGGTCCCTTGAGGCGGACAGATCAGGGTTTCTCAAATTTCTTTCTGGGTCTAAACCACTGTTTTGGCTCTCAAAATAGGGGACTAGAAATGTGTTGCTTCCGTCTGGCTTCTTTAAAACCATACACCATGTTGAGCCGGATTTTGAGGTGCCACTTTCGACCAAAAACCCAGTTCCTCTCGGACTCTCCGGCGCTCCGGCCGATACCATCCAACTAAATTCGACTTGGATGCGATGAGGGCCCGTCTCAAAATTCGGGGGGGGGGGGGGGCAATATGGATTCCGGTGTTCCGTTTTGTTTCCCTTTAAACCAAGCCTACAAAGGGTACCTTTCCCCTCCAACAAGGCACCCACCCGTGGATCAGGTGAGAAGCAGCAGCTGAAAGGGCAGCTGCCGTTGGGGCCAGGTGCGAGGGACACCACAAGGGGACGGGTGCGAAATGTGGCTGCTGGGGATGAGGCTGCCTGTTTTGTGGTTGCTTTGAAGGGAAGCCAAAGGGACACAGCCGTTTGGAAGGCTCCGAAAAGCAAGAGAAGCCTTTGACCGCGTTTGCAGTGTTCATCCATGTTTTATTGGCCAACTGGTGCATTGACCCACAACAAAATGGGTGTGTCAAAGGGTTGGGTAACGAAGAATCTCTGGGATGAGGAGTTCAAGCCAAATGCCCAGAGATTGTTCATCGCATTCGAGGCCGGTCAAGTGAAACAGGTTTGCGAGCAGGTCAGAAAACTGCATTGGTTTCCCCCTAAGTGTATCTCTTGTTGGGTCTTTGGGCCCTGTGTGTGAATTGCGTCTTGTGCTTCAGTGCACATGTTAGGACCTCACTGCATACATAGTCCGGGACAAATTACTTGAGTCGTTACGAACGGTTGTAACCCACTTGTCATGAATTGTAGCCAGTGCGAATCCAACCATTTGGGTGTCATTTTTGTGGGATGCCCCTTGTCAGGATGGTTTAAAGGGAAACCACAATGAACCCCGTTGTGTCTTTTTTGAAACATACCCAGGATTCGATGTTCCTGGTTTGTAGGTACCCATGGGAACCACCCAAGAGGAAACATGTTGGTTACCTAGTGGCTTGCCTGGGATTCACTGGGATACCCATTCGTCATGCAAAGTTGACCCCATATTTTCATCAACCATTCAATTCAAGAGGGTCCATTTCTGGGTGAAATGTTGTTGGAATTAGACCACTTGAGGGGCCAGACACCACCCGATAATTGACTACACTGATGTCCCTGGGTTTAGTGGTTGGAATCAGCACCTTTGCAGGGGGCCCCACTCCCATATTTTCATAAACTGGTTGGTTGATGAAAATATGGCCACCCAGTGAGCATCCCAATCCCCACTAAAGTGGGTGGCGCACCTACCCCAAAATGGCACCGTTGGTTTTCACCCACAGCCATATGGGGTCAACATTGAAATCCCAGAGAGCAATTCTCACGTCGCCTGGCAAGGCGCGAAGGCCATTCGCTTTGCGAACCTCCGAGCGCCAGGCTGGACCCCCATTTCGGGGTACCATGGGTCTGTCATCTTTCTTGGGTACCTGGGTTGGATGGGTTGGTTTAAAAGAAAACCGTCAAGTTTGAGGGATTTCCTATTTAGACACATACCCATGTGGCTTCCCTTTGTCCAATTCACCAAATCACGCCAGACACCCCTCTGTGAGCTCAAGTCGCAGCCAGAGAGAGACCCCGAGCGAAGCAGCACGCCAGGTGAGTCCATCAAGCATCGGCTGCTCAGCCGTGTTTTAAGTCGCGCGGCGTTTCAGGGGTTGGGGGGGGGACCAAAAACAACAAAAACAGTCACCCCCCAAAAGGGGGTCCGATTCTTATGCAGGGTCATTGGGCAACTGGCAAATGACAGGCTATGTCTGGTTTTTTTTGAGTGACCCCTAAAGAAAACCAACCAGTTTTGGGGGTCCCCTAAACAAAGAACCCCCCCATTTACTGGTAGGTGATGTTTCGTTGCAAGCCTGCTCTAGTTTTGTCCCCGCGTCCTTTGCTTCAGGTAAATAAACCCTTGTTGGATTGAACCGCAAGCATGTTGGGGGTCCCAAAACAAAAACAGACATACAGGTGTCCCGTTGGAGCCTTCTGGGCCTGGCTCCGAGGAAAGAAAAGCCACATGGCTTTGCTCTGGATCTGAACCCGGCCGCGGGTAAGCAGCGCCAGATCTGCTACTTCGATGCCCGGATCCCTGTTTTGCCGTCGGAAAGGGGCGAGGGGGGGGGGGGGACTAACAAATGGGCCGGCGCCGCGCTGGACCCGTTTCGGTGCTGCCCGAAGCGAGTCGACCCTTTTGGACGTTAGGCTTTTTCTGTGTTGGTCCAAATACGTACATATTTAGTCAGGGTCACAAAGGTTACAAAGGTTGTTTTTAGGTCCTTTGACAAATGAGGCAAGGAGTATCAAAGGTCCCTAATTTGGAGAAACTCACCAGGGCGTGCCGTGAGACACTGGCAAAATGAGTGGTAGTCTCTGGTTAGTTTGGGGAGGTCCGGAAGGGGGGGGACGCCCAGGTCGCAAGAAGCTCATGTCCTCTTGCGGAAGCAAGTGCCTGTGACTCATAGGGGCTTGTCTTAAACTAGGTGAGCTCTCCAGATAGGTGTTGTCCATGTGGTTTACGGTTAAACCAGTACCTTCGAATAGGAACATGCCCACCATGTTGTCCAAGCACTCTGCCATTATACTCACTTGTCCAACGACGACCTTTTTACCTTTTGTTTTCTTTGTTGGCCGATGATTAGTCATGGCTCCAAACTGTTAGCCTTTTGTTTGTGGGTTCTTTGGGCAACTATACCGTGCGCCCAGACAAGACGAATGTGTCTCCTGGCAAAAATCTGGATTGGTTTTCACTTTATGTTCCTCCAGTTACGCAGGTGCGGCTTGTCAAACCACAAAGAAGGGGTACCCTCAAAACACGACACCCCCAAGCTGGTGCCCTTTGCTCCATTCTGTTTGGAGGGGGGTGGTTCCCTCTATACATTTTCAATCCAAAGGGTTTCCCTCTATCACCCATTGCCCTTGGTCCCTTTTCTGTTTGCAGGGGGTTTAGCCTCTATTACCCATCTACATATCACGCACCTTTTTCGGCACTTTTTGTCGCGCGTCTATCGCGCGGGACGAGCTCAGGCCGAGTCTGCGGAGACTCTCACGGAGTGGCTGTCTGCCATCGAAGGCGACGGCCAAAATGACGTCAGTCGATGGTGAAAATTATCGGCGCTTCCCAGCCTTCCGGTTCCTTAGTTGTTCAGGGGGTTTCCATTTGGGGTGGGGGTGTTTAGGGTCTTTCCTTAGTTGTTGATGTGTTTAGGAAATAAGGGTTTCCATTTCGCCCACGAAAAGTCCTTCTCTTAGCAGGGGATCTCAGGACAGCCCAGATTTGGGTGTGCCTTCTTTCTCACTTCCCGAGTTCCGCTTCAAACTTCCATGTTGGTGGTAAACAAAGCGTTTGGCCAATCCGCTCAGGAAACGATTTCTTGAGGGTGCCCGCTTGGTCGTGGGTTTTAAGGGAAAATCAAGAGGAAGACCGACGCATTTTGCTCCCAAGAAAGGACACACCCAACTTGGGAAGGACATGGGGGGAACTACAACATTCCCCACACAAATTAGGATCCCATGTCCTATATATATATACATACATATGAGCGCTCATATCTATCCACCCCGATTCTGGGGGGCCGTTTTTGGATTTTGGGCCTATGTTTCTTGGAGGCACCCTATCCGAACCCAAGATGGAATCGGAACCCTGCACTGCTGGTTTTGGCTTTCGAATGTCACTTTCTGCTGTGATTGAGCTTTCTTCATGTTTGTGGGAAACTGGCCTTTAGGCCACGGCACTGAATCTAGGGGTTCAATCTTTTCAGGATGGGTGCAAACTGCCATGTGGAAGCCTGGTGACTTAGTGCCGGCCCTAGCTTTCCGAAAGAGGCAATAGCTTCTGGTCGCCTTGGGGGAGTGGATTCCCCTTTGGGTGTGGTGCGTTCAGGGGACCCCCCTCAAAATGGCGGTTTGCCTTGTAGTGTCCCTTCAAAACCAGCCAGAAAGGGTACTCCTGAAAAAAGACAGACCCTATTCGAGGGTAATTAGTTTGGAGGAAGTCACTTTAATGAACTTTAATGGACGCAGGTGAACCTCCATGTGTTCATGTTTCCCAACTACCAATGCTGCTTGGTTTGTAGGGCTGGTTGCATGAATCCCGTGCTTTGTTCACCGCTGTGAGGGTACACGAAGACATTTGTTGGCGATGGATACCTTTTTGGCACCAGGATTCCGGAAGTACAAATTGGTAGCTCTTACCTCTGAGCTTTGGAGCCCACTTTGCGCCAATGCGCCACCTTTGTCTTCCATTTGCTTAAGAACATGTTCGATTTCCCCTTTTGGTTTTAAAGGGAATCTATCACCGCCTTCAACATATGGTGCATTTTCCAGGGGACTTCAGCGAATGGAAGCTGGGGGGCAGTGATTTGGAAATGTCCTTGGGGCTCGGAGGTGAGAGCAGGATAGTGCCGGGGTATCAGGGTTGAGACGGATCCTCTGAAAAACACCTAAGCGTGAAACAGTTGGTGCCGGGGATTTTCCAGTAACCCTGTGCATTGGTTGTTCAGGGAGGAAAGGGGGACTACCCATCCCTAGCATTCCACCAAAGTTGATTTCCGGACTGGAAAGAGGAGCCATCTGCTCAATCTCCACGCTTGCAATTTTATCACGAAGCCAGTAATAATATGGTTTGTCTTTTGCCAGGGTACCCTTTCTGGGGTTGAATAAAAGGGAAACCAAAGGAAAGGCCACCATATTTGGGGTCCTCTATTTGAGACACATCCCTGTTCCCTGCTTTTGCCCACGTGTCCATGAAGACTGCCTTGAGCCAAGGCCAAAACCTGACAAGATTCTCCACTATGCACCCGGTGCAACCGTTTGGTTTCCCTTCACAAACCCATTAAAATAGTTGCTGTTGTGTGTTATTAGTATTTGGTGATTTGGTGTTTGATTCATATTGTAGAGGTACACTATGGCAAGCAATACGCGACTCGCAAGAACGAGTGCTTCATGTTGTAGACGGTCCAGACAGCACCACTAAAACCATGGTTGTAAGTCCCTGTTCAGTGGTAACCAGGGCAAATCTGATCAATCAGCGATTCGTCCTGGACCATCTAAGTCTGGGGGTTCCTTCAAAGCGTTTTTGGATGTTAGGGTACTGTAGACTAAATAAGACACAGAATCAGGAGCTTATGTTTGGAGTACCCCAGATGTGGGGCAAGCTGGTATCCCCTTTGAGGACAGGTTAAGGGCTGGAAGTACCTGAGGCGCTACGCATCTACTGGAACCCCTGTTTGATATGGGGTGAAGAGTCGGAACCACCTCCAAAGTGGCTGGTGGACATGAATCGGGACCCAATGCTGATGTGCATGCCCCGAAGTTGGAGTTCACACCCATATTATCCCACATAATCTTCATTCTATGCTGGGAAACCAATTGGGTGTATTTGTTTCGGGTTTTTGTTCCTTTGTTTAGGGCCCCCCTCCCGCAAGAAAGTGGTTTCCTTGTGGTCTCAATCTACAACCCCCACAAAAAGCGGTGGCCTCACAAAATGACACCCAAATCAAGCTACGGGTTGGCCCTATCGAGTGTAGTTCGACCTGTCATCCTCAAATGGCCATGTGGCTTTGTGCGTCTTTTTGTGAAGCAAACCCTTTTTTGGGTTTAAGGGAGGCCAAAGAGAAGCCACCAATTTGGGGGGTCGTTTATCCATGGCTCCTGTGGGAGGGAGCCGCACAGAAGTTCTGAGTCCGAGGTGCAGGTTCGGGAGGCCTTCGACTCGGACTCCGTGCTTCAGCTTTGAGACAGGTTAGCCGACTTGCTGGCTTGCTGGCCTGCCGGCTTGCTTGCTTGATTGATTGCTTGCTTGCTTGCTTGCTTTCTGGGGTGGTCAAAGCTATCAGAATCTTATCAGAGGGACAACGGGGGTTTCCCGCCTATCGGCGGGGTCCACCGGCCAATCCTGTTGAGGCGGCCCTTTTAGGATCTGGGCGGTAGGCATTCTCCTCGGGTCTTTTTTTTGAAGGCTCCCTATATTTTATCCCTTGTTGGGTGGTTGCAAGCATCAGCTGGGTTTCCTTGATAATCTTGTAAAGGGAAGTATGGGGCGCTCTCGGTTTCCCAAGATTGCGGACCAGCCCTGAAGTTTGCTCCAACTTCGTTAGACAGTGGAGGGCCCAGCGGCAAACAATATTTGGAGGAGAAGTGGTTCCTCTTCTAGTGAGGTACAATGCTTCCGAGCACGCAGATGCGCGGCTGTTTGGCCTGGTTGGTTGATTGGTTGGCTATAGGTTGGTTTTTGGTTGGTTGGTTGGTTGGTTGGTTGGTTGGTTGGCTGGTGAACCCAGTCCATTCGTTTCATGGGTCAGATGCAGTCAGCAAATTGCATAAACTCCTATCGTGTTTCATTTGCATGGCCATGGCCCGGACTTCTTCTCTTTTCTTCGCACCAGAATGTTGGTTTCATGTTGTATCCCCAACGGCAACCGGAACCCTTCCGGAACCCTGGCCTCTCCAACCACCCCGGATCCATTTGGGCTATTGACCCCAAAGTCCCAAACCTTTCAGCTGAGGAGGACCGAGCACATTTGGAGCTTGGCACGTGCCTTGCTCCGCAATGGCGAATCCCGCGATTGAGGAAGTTGTGTTAACAAAGCTCAAGCCCTCGTTCCCTTCAAAGAATCTAGAGGCTTGTTTGAGCAATAGTGATTCAAACATGAACGACTGTTTAGGCCCAACCTGCTTCCACAGAACGCTCTGTTGCTGTTTGTTTGGGAAGGGGGGAGGGGGGTACCCTGCAGCCCTATCCACAGAAAGGTTATGAGCACAATTATCAATTATCGCGCTTGTTGTTTTCGGGGGAGGGCTAGCCATCAAGTGGGCTCCCAGCAAGCCTAGCTGACTGGGCGTATGTCCAAAGTAGGAACCCTTCCAGCTGGCAGGGACATTGAAGTGCTGGTTGAGCATTTTTAGCTGCAAGACCCAGGCTGGCTGCTTCCGAGAAAAGCCAAAAGAACCTGAGGAGGTTGAAACAAGATTGGTTTCAACATGTTTAAGCAAGGGGGAATCGCCCCAGCCCAGTGTCCCCACATGTCATTTTCGGAGAAGCTGAGGTATGGCATCGTGGTAGAGGTTGACGCACAAGGGGACACCTTTGTCGACTTCTGCTCCCACAATGCGCGGCAGTGGGTCTTTAAGAAGAACCAGCACAAGATTCAAGCGGTTCCCGATGGGCTGAAAGACGTGTACTTGGACACTTGGCCGACCTTCTGTTCTTGGCATGTGTTCTTCCTGTGTTTGCTTGTTTGTGTTTTGTTGTTTGTTTGGTTCGGTTCTAGTTCCGTTGATGTCAGGTTGGGCATCTTTGGTTCGTCTTGTTCAGCAGGGAAAACCATCAATGGTAAAGCCTGGAAGTAAGGATCTAAACAAGTTGTTGTATTCGAGACGTCTAAACATGGGCTGCCAACCCCCGGATCTGACTCTGGCTAGCCAATGTATAGGGCCCACAAGTTCTCTCTGGTCGGGAGGGTTTGCAAAGCATGTCATTCCATGTGTGCGTGTGTGAGTGTGAGTGTGTGAGTGAGTGAGTGAGTGAGTGAGTGAGTGAGTGAGTGAGTGAGTGAGTGAGTGAGTGAGTGAGTGAGTGAGTGAGTGAGTGAGTGAGTGGTGGTGGTGAGTGAGTGGTGGTGAGTGAGTGGTGTGAGTGGTGTGAGTGAGTGAGGAGTGAGTGAGTGAGTGAGTGAGTGAGTGAGTGAGTGAGTGAGTGAGTGAGTGTGTGTGTGTGTATGTGTATGTGTGTGTGATGTCATCTGGGCAAATTACAACAATCTCATTGGGGGTGTCTGAAATTTGTCACCAGTTTGTGTGATAAAGTATTTGTGAACGTAGACACTGTAAGCGTTATTGATCTTTGTTGTGCTTGAGAGGGTGCCCCGGTTGCTTGTGAGCTGTATCCAGGACACATGCCTCATGCAAGCCAATAGGATCTTGACACTGTCCGGGGGCCCAACTTGCCGATTGGCTTAGGGAAAGTAGGACTGACCCGCTTCAAGCCGCGTTTCAGTTTGCCCCGAAGGAAATGCCAGTCTGTTCAAAGCACCACATTGAAGTCGTTGCACCGCTCAGTCACCTTTTAATGTTTTGGTTCTCCCTTTTTGGGTTTAGGCCCTTTGGGCAAGTGCAGCCACAACTTCGCCATGCCTTTTTTGTGAGCTGCTTTTGGACTGAGCTGGCCTGGTGGGGCGGTCACCCTATCAATTGAGCGGGGGTCGGCGCATGCAGTCACTCAATCGTTGCGTGGACACACACGTGAAGACTTTTGGGGGGAACATTTCTGCCATGGACACACACACACACACCCAAACGACACAGCTGTATACCAGTCACAGGTGGGTCGAGCAATGGCATAACTGCACATGAGCAGCTTTCTAAACCCCACCTGGCCGTTTTAGGTTTTACCTGGTGAGAGATGGGGTTCTGGTAGGAACCTCTTTGTGACGTTTGAAGCAAAAGTCAACAGATTTGAGACTCAGAGGTCTCGAGCGTTCAAGTGGATCTTGCCCAATCGACTGTGAACCAGGGGACGACACTCCAACTCTCCCACCCACCCGTTTTGGGAAGCCCTCAAACACGCCATCCCACCCACCCACCCACCCACCCACCCACCCACCCACCCACGCACCCACCCACCCACCCACCCACCCACCCACCCACCCACCCACCCACCCACCCACCCACCCACCCACCCACCCACCCACCCACCCACCCACCCACCCACCCACCCACCCACCCACCCACCCACCCACCCACCCACCCACCCCCACCCACCCACCCACCCACCCACCCACCCACCCCCACCCACCCACCCCTCCCAAGCACACCCGAGTTTGATCTATTGCTTGGTGTTCTGGGCGGGGGCGGGCGGGGCGGGCGGCGGCGGGCGGGCGGGCGGGCGGGCGGGCGGGCGGGCGGGCGGGCGGGCGGGCGGGTGGCAGGCATTTTTGTCACACTTCAACTTCCCTCAGTAGCTTGAAGCTGAGGAGATCGTGCCACAGAACGACCTGATCAACCACTGGGCCCTGCAGATTGGCGATGACCGCATCTTCCGCTGCTGCTTGGAGAGTTCACCGGGCTAACGGCAACTGCTGCGCTATGAAATGGGACACTCAGATCCGCTTTTCGGAGCTTTCCAGCGATCAAGTGTCAAGGGACCCGTACTGTTCGGACCCGCAAGTCTAGCACGCTATCGTCAGACCAATCCTCCATCGGTTGATGGGCAACCCCGAAAAAGGGTACCTGTGGAAGTTACAATAGGACAAGAAAACACCAGACGGGTAAAAAGCAAATTTTGGGCCTCACTTTCCCGTGTTTTCACTTATCTTTGTTTTTGGGACTGGTATGTTGCAACCGTGCATCGCACACCCAAATACGAAACAACCACCGAAGACTCCGAAGTTGCGTCTGCCCAATCAGGAAGTCAGTGGATGACAGTGATGCTTTTCTTCATTCCCTTTTTCTTTGGTGGGTCGCCCCTGTAAAATGATCACTCCTAACAAGGGTTTCTTTTTCTACCAAGGCCTCCGGTTGCAACTGGACAATTCGGACGATTCCCGTCACATGGCGTCAGGCTACGAGTTCGAGGCGGATGGCATCTGCATGGGTCGCACCACTGCGCTGGACAAGGGCTACCCCATCACCAAGCAGCTTCTTCAGGGCACCTGTGAAAGAAAGCACGGTCATGGGTCAACAGACAGTGGCATCATACATAGCTTACATGGCTGTGGGTCAAGAATAGGTACCCAAAATGGCACCCTGGTAAATGGAAACAATGACACCTCTCCAGCTGCTTGGCTTCCTTTTTGTTTTTCCTTCCGGAAGTAGTGTCACTAGTTTGCATCATACCCACTGGAGATGACCTTCTTTCGATAGCTTTCGTTTAGCTTTGGGGTGCCCCTTGTTTGTGACATACCCATGAGAGGTTCAGTCAAAATATCTATAATGAGCCTACGGTCCATTTGGAAGGGACATAGGAGGGCGAGCTCCAAACTTCCCCACACTCAAAATACAAACATTACACCAGCATAGACTCCAGATACCGAAAAAGCAAGCCGATTGCACACCAGCACCTCTAACAGCACTCCCTGAAGAGCGCCACAAGCAGCACTCCCACCAGAGCACCCGGGCATCAATCTCGCAAGAATGCGCACGCATAGCAACCAGCACTTCAAACAGCACCCCAAACTGCCTGTGCCCTAGCACACACCATTATCAAAAATGCGCCCGTGATGTCACCAGGCCCCCCAAAACAGCACCTGCACCAGTACCCCAAACTGCATGCCCCCTAGCACCCAGCCGTCAATCTCACGAACATCAAACAGCCGCCCAAACAGCATCCCAAAACACAACCTGCGCCAGCACCCCAAGCTGCATGCCCCCTTGCACCCTGCCGTCAAAGATGCAAACACGCGCGCACACCGTTCTCCCCAAAACAGCACCTGCACCAACACCCCAAACTGCATGCTCCCTAGCACCCTACCGTCAAACTGCACGCCCCCTAGCACCAGTCCATCAATCTCGCAAATGACTTTCCCCTCTTTATTAGAAGTTAGAACCCCTATAGCTTTCAGCTATCTTGGGAAAAACAGGGGGCCAGCTTTCAGCTATCTTGGGGAAGAAAAAAGACATGCTTGTTGTCTAGGGCTCGCATACCAAAGTGTTACGTATATCCTGACGGCTGTGTGTGAGTCTGAAGTCCCCTTTTGAGGGTTTCCAGCCCCAAACCACTGGCTTATATGGTGTCCCTCGAGTGTCTGGGTGTGTCTTTTTCAAGGGAACTTGTTTTTTCTGTTGTTCAAGGGAAGCCAAAAGGACAGTTACCACATAAAAGAGTGTACACCCATGTTTCCCTTGAGGAGTAGAAGGCCTCTAACATTACTCCCCCATCAACATGGGACCTGACAAGGAGTGAGTGTCCTCTACATTTGATGGCTGTCTGGGTTCTTCCATTAATCAGCAGAGTAAGAGCACACCTCAAGATATTATGAGGCAAGAGAATTGGGTATAAATCCTGGGCAACTGAGTTGTTCCCTCATTTTCCTTCGGTCAGCGGCTGGGTCATTGGGTCAACAGCTCGGGACGCCTCAGATCGATCCAAAAGCTCCGAGCGCCGAGGCCGCACGTCGCAGAGCCACGGCGCCATCGCCGCCTGGAGCCGAAGATTCGGGGAGGCCAACAGCTACGACGCCGCTGGGAACGGGCTCTTCGGGGGCAAGAACTGCCAGGCATCCAGCGATCTGGCTGTGGTTGTCAAAACTGTCAAGTAGTTGTTGTAGGTCAGTCGTTGCAAGTGTTTTTTTGTAGCACTAGCATATTGCTATCATATATTTTTGTTCAGGTGTTTTAGGTGTACCTGCACCCTCCAAAACTTTTTCGGTACGAATTGACAACCCGTGGAGGGTGCTGGTAGGTAAGTCGTAGGTGAGGTTCTAGTTTGTACTGGGTGAATCAGCAAATTTGTTGGTATACCTCTGGCTCACCAGCTCGAGGACTTCGTGGTGGAGCTCTGCGGCTTCCTGGAGCGGCTCGGAGCGGTTTGGGGGTGGGGGATGGGTGGGGGTTTGGGGGGGGTGCATCCTTGGGGTCTAGAAAGAGGCGTGGGTCAAAATTAGACCACAAAACGTTCCGCAGGTTTCAAAATTCAATCACCAGGGACCGCAGGTTTGAGTTCATGTGTCCATTTTGTTTTACCAGGGTTCGCATTTTGGGGTTACCCGATTTTTGAGATGGTTCGTCCATTTTGCGGAACTCGGGATATTGGGTTATGCTGCCCTGGTCTCTTATTTCCGGAAAGATATGCCTAGGTCTATCCTTGGTTTTCTACCCTGGTCTATCCTTTCTAGCCTGGTCTTACTGGAAAGATATTTGACTTTTGTCCGGACTTCATGAACCTAGTTTTCAAGGGAAACGAGTACTGCTGGAAATGATTTTGTTTTTCTCTTGGGACTTTAGCAAATGTAGGGTGCTAACCTGTATGGATCCACTTCTGGCGAAGAACGACTTGCCCTGTCGCCGCAAAATCCTCCCTCAATGTACAACCTGCAGGTAAGAAATCTGAACGGTTACCTACTATAGTGGTAACTCTGGGGCCATATTTTCACTGCTTTTGGGCACTCAAATTTGTCAAAGTCAGAAACTGGAATTGGTCGTCCATGTAGTCTACCACTTAGGGGGGTGACTTTGATAGTGGTGAACATGGGGCCAGATTCGTGAGCGATCTCGTCTCAGATTTGCATGGAGGTCACCACTCACAGGCTATAGAGGAAATTTGAATCACTGGGCTAGAGAACTAAGCGTTTTGCCCTTTGCACTGTTTGGTGGCCAGGTTACGGGGGCAAGGTCGCTGATTCGGACTCTTTGGACACATGCTTTTGTTCACGAAGATGGTCGCATTGGCATACGACCAATAGGCACACAGTGGTAGAACAACACGAGGGTGACGAGGATAGTTGAGGATGGTACTGATGCTGCTGATAGCTATTGTGTTGTCACTGCTTAGACAGTCCGGGGCTCAGCTAAGAGTTAGTATCAGAGGTTACCCCCCGCCAAAGCCATGGCTGTTAGTCCCCGCTCAGCTTGTATCCAGAAAGCTGGCCATCATCCTGGACCTTCTAAGTGCTGTTGCTGTTGATTATGGTTGCGGCGTGCTTTTACTTGCGGCAAAGGTGCTTTCAGTGGCCTTTGCGAAGGCAAGAGAAGGCTTGAAAAGGGGCTGCCTTCTTTTTGCTTGACATTGGAAACTCAGAGATGCAGACTTTTGGGAAGTCATTCGTGACCCTTGCGAGCCAAGTCTTCATTTTGCCTTGTGATCCCTGCCATTCCGCGTGTTTCTTTGGCGCGAATTTCGCACTCTACTAATCCGTGAAAGACGGAGGTTGATATTGAACAAGGCTTGACTCTTCCTTTGCGAGGCATCAAGTCACTCGGTAAGTGCTCCGTGCTTCCGGTTGCAAAGGGCACAAGGCAACCAGGGTGCCTTATCTCTAGGCTATACATAATGTTGTCATCACCCCCACCTCGAAACTTTCTTGGACCCCTCCCCACTCCCGGCTCCCTCCTCCCCCTCCCCTCCCAGCTAAAATGGTTTCCCTTCGTCATGTTTGATCCGCGCTTAGGATCGATGTTGAGCAGCTTCCGTTCCGGCAAGCTGAGAAGGCTCCCTGAGCGTCGTTCGCTTTGATAGCCAGGGTTCTATTGCTCTCGTCCTGAGTTCCAGGACTTTTCTTATCCCCCCAAAAAAGCAAGCGGGAGTCCCACAATTTTGGTGCGTACCCCCGAAACCCTGGGCTTGGTTTCCCCAACAGCCCCGAACCCCCTAGAACCCTTCAAGAACCCTCCCTCAAAGCTGCCCCAAACCATCCCAGAGCTTGTCCAAGGCGGAGACACCATAGCTTTCAGCTATTGGGCAAAACACGCATAGGTTGCTACTAGGGCTGCGGTTGAAGGCTCCCGAACCTGAGTGCTTCTCACCGTCCATCAAAAAGCCCTTGGATCAGAATCAGATGTTCTTTGGAACCATTTCTGGGATGGGGAGGGGGTCTTTTTGGGGTGCCCCCCCAAAATGATGAGTTTTGTGTTGGTGTCCCTTTACATTCCTCCCGAAATGGGTACCTTAGAAAGGACACACCCGTAGCATATAGTCTATACTGGCGGGGAATCTAGCGCTTGGATCTTTGCTTCGGATGGGCTGAGCAATACAGAGCTCCACACTTTCCAACTTTGCAACTCAAGAGGGTGTGTCTTTTTCAGTGGACCGCCAAATCCAGCCATCAACACCCACCAGATCCCCAAGGCACAATCTAGCATGATTTGGAGGCCTTCCCTGATTTCACAATATGCTTTTTAGTTGTAACTAGTGGTACAACATCAGCCTTTGCAATCGTGAGCAGCGACTTGGGGTTGAAAGCGTCTCCTGGCTTTGCTCAGAGACAGCAAGCAACGGAGGCAGCAGGCATGGAGGACGATTTCCGGCACAATGCAGGAGAGCACTCGAGACTTTCACCAAGTATACAGATTGAAAGATCGTAGGCCTATGTCCGATGCCATGATGTATCACAAACAGCGATATGCGGTGTTTAAACTATCACAATATGATTTGACATGAGGTACCCCCAAACCATCACCAGGGAAGACGAGGTGCAATCGCCACTTTATACTTTATACCCACGATATAAGGGATGTATACCCCCATGATTTGCGTGGCTCGGTGATTTAGAGCTAGCTTTCATCTTACTATGGGGTATGGTGTCTCTGGCCGATTCCATGGAAAGACATCACCAATGCCAGTGCCTTCGGATACCCTCCTCACATGGTTTCATAACCAGGAAATTCGACTGGAGATGGGCCAATCAACTCACTAAAGGTCACCCAACCCGTGGGATGTTCCAGTAGAGTTTGCTGGTCTGCTGGCCCAGAGGTTTGCAAAGGCCCCTTGGCCTTGGTTTGTTTGCCTCTCTAAAAAAGGAGCCCAGTGGGTTTCCCTTCCCTTTGCACCAATCCCAAACAGAGTCCAACAAGACACGCGTGTATTTGGGCAAGTTGTCTTGCTCCAGCATTTGGAGGTTAAATATTCACGGTGTGCACCCCTCAGAGGCTTGTTCCCACCGCTAACATTGGCACCTGACTGCGGGTCCCTTTACAAGCCCATGCGAAGGTAATCTGAGTGAGTCATGATACTTCAAGGGTAGGAGATCAAGGAACCTTGGCTTTCCGTTGCAAACCTTTTCTCGTGAAGCAAACAAGCTGGTGGTTGGAAGGGAGCCGTTAGGGAGAATACAAATTGGCCGTGAAGGGAGCTAAGGAGGCATAAAGAGACCAAAATTGGAGATCCAGACTTGGAACTCGTCTTCAAAGCACCCCGACGCCCCAAACAAACATCAATCCAGTCGAGGTGAAGACCATGCTGGGCGCCGGTGCGCTGGTGGCGGCAGATGCAGCCCTGGGCCGCCTGGCGACGGAGATCGAATCGGGGTTGAGCAAAAGCGGCTTCAGGATGCCATTGTTCCAAAGTCCCCATGGCGTCAAAATATTGGATTGGTCATGGACCGGCCATGATGCGGCTGCCTATTGAGGGAGCCATGACCGAACTCCCACACACGGAGGTTTGACCATGGCACATTTAGGGGTGTTCGAAGTGCCGGAGGTCCCAGGTTCCGTGACAAAGGGAAGCCGGCTCCCACTTTGGGCACCTGCGCTGTTGCAACTTCGTATTTGGGTATGTGTCAACGTCGTGAAGATTCATTCTCCGGCCTTTTCATAGGCTGGTAGTTTTGGATGTGTTGGACGTTCTAAATGGTTTCTAGGAGTTTTGGGCGACCCCTGAACCCAAAAACATGTTTTTTTCCTGCTTTGCGGGCGTTTGCGGGGTTTTGCGGACGTTTGCGGGCTTTTTGCGGATAATTCCGGGTGGGGACAACGTAACAAGCGACCAGTTCTGCAATCTCACGAACACATAATTAGGAGTTTTAGTAGTTTTAGGCGACTTCACGAAAAAAGCATCGATATTTAGGAAAAGCAAGTTAAAGACGAGAACTACCAGGAAATTCATGGAGAATGAATCTCCAGGATAAGGGGACCTAAAATTGCGGCTTTCATGTTGGCGTCCCTTTGAATCTATCCCGAAAATGGGTTCTTTTCTTCACCAAGGGCTTCTTGAAGGATAATAGCATCTTCAACACCCCAACCACACCCCGATACGCGCCAAAGGAAACAGCAGGAAAGGGAGCCAAAGGGAACCAAAAGAAAGGAAGCCTTTGACATGTTTTACGGTATGCAAAGGAAGGCTGCTCAGTTGGGCTTTCTCGGAGCGCTGATATTGAAGAGAATCCGAACGGAAACGCCCTGTTTGGGGCCCTCCGTAATTTGCAAAAACACACACACACACCAAAATGGTTGGTTTCCTGTTGGTTTCCCTTTCAACCCACCCCAAACAGTCGGATTGCCAACTCCAAAGAATTTCGAGCCGCCCAAAACACGAGCCACCGATTTGGCGCCGCTTCCCTCGCCGCCCACGCGCGCCTATGCGCGCCGCGCGCGAGGCACGGGGCTCCTGGCGGGCGCCATGGACGTGGGCGCCGCGGGCTTCGCCGCGGCCGCGGGGGCGGCGATGAGCCCCGCGGTGATGGCCACGGCCGCGGTGGTGACGGTGGTGGCGGGCACAGGCCGCGCCGGGTTTGGGCGTTTGGTGGGCAATTGCCTTGGATGGGTTGGTTTAGAGGAAAAGCACCAAGTCTGAGTTGGTTTCCCTACAGAGAATGTGGACCATCTATGAATTAATGTCTCATTACAAATAGGGGGTGCCGCGCTCCGTTCGCTCCGTGCGTTTAATTTCTTGCTGGTGCGACAAGTAGGGAATGAGGGAATGAAATGAGGGGTTTTCTTAAAGGAAACCACCAGATGGTTTACTTACCTCTTAAAAGCACAACTTTTCAACTTTTTGGGTAACATGGGCTATATGTCTGTAAAAGATTAACTTCCCCAGGGCTTGGAGTTTTCAGGGGTAAGTTTATAGGGGGCCATTCCCACATTCCCTACTGAGAGCCAGCAAGTAATGTTGACCCCCTATTAATCGACCCCTGTTAATGAATGGGGGGGGTCATGACTGTTGGAAGGCGTGCCATTTTTGAATGTGTTTTTTGTTTAGCTCATAGATAGATGTTTGGTTTATGGACTTGGGGGTTTGGATTTGATCTTTTGAAGATGGTGGCGAATCAACAGTCAATGATCTTTTAAAGCCGGTGGCAGGGCAGCCATTACGGAGCTGGGGGTATCCAAATTGGCCTTTAAAGAGCTAAAGCGCTACCAGGAGTTTTGTAATGATACGGTAGCTTTGGTTTCCTCTTGTTGGTCATTTTTGTGACATGGCCCCAACAGCTTAACCTGATATGTCCAGGTAGTTTGGGCAAGTGAGTTAAGGGAGCCCCTGGGTTCATTCTTCAAACCGCAGACGGTTACTTTTTGAGAAGCAAGTTGAAGACAACACCCTGTCCAATGATGGGAACCCCGGATAAATGAACCCACACCCACTGCTAGCACAACCGGTTTCTTCATCTGGGGTAACCACACCGATTCAAAGCCATGTCGAGGGAGCCTCGGGAAGTTCAAGGCGTGGTCCTTGATGGGGTGCCTCGTTTTTTGTCAGGGACCCTCAACGGCGTGTAGAGTGGTGCGTCGCCCAAAAAAGTGAAGAGTCTTCTCTGAAATGGGATCCCCCCTACTTGTAAATCCCGCCCCCTTACAAATGGATTTGGGGGAGGAGGGTGACCCCCTGGAATTCCATTTATAGTTCAATTGTCCCTTTCATGCATATGAAAAGAGGGACCCCCTACCCCCTCCCTCCTAAGATACTTCAAATAATCTTGGGTTCCATTCAACCACCCCCCCCCAACCGGGGCTGCCCTTCCGCGCGCGTTGCACTGGAACGCACCAGAGAACGGGCCCCTGGAGAATGTTCCGAACCATGGCATTTGACCGCGCTGAACCACAAGAAGGATACTCCTCAACAACACAAACAGACAAAAACACACACACATACAGAGACAAACGGACAAACAGACACCACACACACACACACCACTCACATACACAAACACATCGCGCACTGCGCAGGCATGCTGGTGACTGAGTCTGCTCGGGGTCAAAGCTGGATGTAACGGCTGCGCAGACAGCGCCCAATATGTGGAGCTGGGGGAGCGACATGCCGGTCTAGTTACCACGGGCTCAGACAACCCTACGCCGGGTGCTAAATAGACTGTAGCAGTTAGTTGTCCAAAAGGAAACCCACAAGAGATGGGTTGTTGTCTTACGTTTCCAGACCTTCTACTTCGCACTCAGTGCTTGTTGCTTCCGATTGGATGCGTCAGGGGCACAAGATGCTCACGTTTTGTTTGGTTAGCCTGCAAGGAAAGCCTGCAAGGAAGACCTTTGGTTTCCCCGCTGATAAAGAGGACACCTCACCTGCAGTCACCTGCAGATGTCCGCATTACCCCAGCTCCCAAGCAGCCTTGGAGACAAACAGTCTTCCATGGAGCAAAGGACGTCTTTGGATGGGACTTCTTCCAGTGGATGGCAAATACTGAGCCATCAGCTTTCAATCACACAGGAAAAACTGGCCAGGCTGTTAGACAGGTCTCTTGTTTTTTCAACCCCACCATGCACCCAGATCCCTTGGGGAAAACGGGTGGATTCCCCCGAAGTTCTGGCGTGGTTGCGGTGGTCGATTTGCTTGCAAGATCCAGGGAATCCACCGTACATCGACGCAGACCTCCATTGGTGCTTTGGTTTCCTTTTTTTTAAGCGGGTTTCCGGAGAAAAAAAGGGCGGAGCTCTTTTCGTGCCATGGCCACGTCCGGGGTCTTACTTTTTTTGAGTTTCACCTGGCTCGGGCTCGCAGCGCCGGGCTGAATTTGGGCAAGTTGGTGATCGTTCACAAGCGAAACCTGGGGGAAGAGCGAGCTCGCCAGCGTCCGAAACCTCATACTGGGCCGCATGAACAAATCCTCAATGGTGTGTTGTCTCCCACACGGCGGAATCAGCGATAAGGTGCAGCTGCAGTCACAGCACGCCGCAGCAGACAAAGGGGTCTTCATTATGTATTCCGGTGATTCACACACATCAAGAATCGAGCGCCTGACGAAGTGCATGATCTCATGACCTTAGAAGCTTCTGGAGAAAGCAGGGCAACTACATCAGTCCACCTAGGAAAGGACGAAGTCTGCTTGAGGGCCCCATTGTGTCCGACCCCGAACCTTGTTTGTGCATAATATAGCTTCGCGGAAACGAAGTCGTAGGCCCCCTAGACAGCGAACTTGGCGATCTGGCCTTTGCGCCACACTGCTGTGTTTACAGAGGTTGTAGACATGCATGTGGGGGCCGTCCGTAATTGCGTGTCTAAAACTTATGAAGAGAGGTAACTTGTTGAGTCGCGCGATTGGGAAAACTCGAGCCGCGGTTGGCCGGCGATTGGAGCGCGAAAGGGAAACGAATTCATCATGAATTTGGAAGTTGCTTAGCATCTACTACTACTACTACTACGACTACTACTACTACTACTACTACTACTACTACTACTACTACTACTACTACTGATACTACTATTCTTATTACTTCCGCTACTGCTACTGCTGCCGCTACCGCTGCTGCTACTTCTTCTGCTACCACTACTACCACCACTACTGGTACTACTTCTACTACTATCACGACTACCGCCATTCGTTTAGTATAATAGCTTAAATTGCCAGGAATCCTACCAGCATGTCTGGTTTTGCTAGTACTTTCATTATTGCCACGAATTTGTGGTAATGACTTAGTAAGCAGCAGTTGCCGGGTGCAGCTTGAGTATTCTGTTGTGGTAAGCCAAGTAGCATGCAAAACGCACGCGCGAGTGCGGACCGCTCGCGCGCGGAACCCGAGCGCGCGGAACCCACAGACGCGGAACCCGCGCACGCGGAACCCGCGCGCGCGGAACCCGCAGGCGCGGAACCCGCGCGCGGAACCCGCGGCCGCGTAGAATTCGCGTAGTGCCTATTTCACGCTTCTACCTTCTCACGGGCGCTGCCCGCAAAAGGTTACAACATCTCTGAAGCATCCCAGTTGTGTTGTTGCTTGCGCCGCTCCTTCCCTAGATGGGGTTTTGCGATGGCTTCGGCCTGCGTTGTTTTTTTCTATCATGTCTCAAAGTGTTCATTTGACTTGCTACCGCGCTGCATCCAGGGCTATTGGACCGCCACAGCAGGATGAGTGTCATCTTTTCTTGGGGATTGCTATTACTGCTACGACCGCTGGCATTGTAGTAACGGTACCTTACTACCGGGGCTGCTTTGTTTCTACTTTTTTGTTGCTTGCTGGAAAACGAGACGTCATTGCTTTAGGGTTGATCGATTGTTTTGCTCACCCTAGGGCCTTAGGGTCTGAAACAGGTCTGAAACAGGTCTGAAACAGGTCTGAAACAGGTCTGAAACAGGTCTGAAACATCCTTTCTGAAACATCCCGACGCATGTCGCTGATTTTGACTGCGCAGGCTTGCCCGAAAGTTCCCTCTAGAACCCTGGATGTTGACTTTGTCTGGCAGGCCCAGACAGTGCTTTCCAAGCCTGATTGCTAGCAAGGGCTAGATGGAAGCTGCAAGCCGAAGTTTCGCCGACGAATTCCGCGATTGGACGGCGATTGGACCGCGATTGGACGAATTCCGCCAGTGAGCCCCTGCCCATCCGGGCTCTGCCGCTTCCTTCTTGTCACTTCTTTCTTGTTCCGGTGAATGGTGGCCAACAAGTTGCTGAGGCGGAGGGAAAAACGGAGCCACATGAAAGACTTTGCTTCAGACAGCAATGAGTCCAGTTCCTCGAGCAGCACTTCTACCACATCAGATTCTGTGGACTCATAGGATTGGACCGCGGTTGGCCGGCGATTGGGAGGTTCCCAGGCAAAGTAATTTTGTACAACCCCCATGTGTTATGTTCTGATTGTGCAATATGGAGATATCAGTCTTGGATGGTGTTTGCTTTTTCATGAAGGGCTGTGAAAGGCCATAGTGGTTTTTGATATGCTGCACACTGTGCTCAAGGAAACCAACTTCCATTGCAGCCAGTGGCTTCGTCGCATTCGGAGACTGCTTATTGGAGGCGCATGCCCATTCAATAAGGCCATGTCGGAAACTCATTAGATCAAATGACAATGTGAACTAGCCCAAACTTACCAGACATTTTGACTAAGCCACTCTTCGGAAATTGACTTTGAGGTTGAGATGCCTGTGAGAACGACTTGCCAGAGAGATAGAGGGAGAGAGAGTATTCGTCATTTCATAGGACATGGGAAAATTGGCGAGTCCGCTGGTTGTGGAAGAAATTTCGAGTCAGTGCCCCATGTCCCAATTCCCCTCTTCTGTGGGCAAGTAAAGGAGACGACAAAACACGAGGGAATCATAGTCCCTTGTTCTCCCTTTCTCTTCTTTCTGGCTGGTGAGGAAGATGATTCAAGAGTGCCTTTGCCTTTTGATCCGATAGCAATCTCAAGTTTCTCGACGAGAGTTGGTCACAAATCATATTTTAGTCATAGATAATATCCACTGACTTTATCTCCCTACCGCATCTCCCTCTCTCTTCCTCTCCCTCACTCTCCCTCACTCTCCCTCTCTCCCTCCCTCCATCCCTCTCTCGCCCTGTCCGTCTCACCCTTCCTGGCGCTCACATTCTCTACATGCGCAGAGGAAATGATCATCCATCGCATCGCAATTGTGCATTCAAGTGCCACAATGAACCAAAGTCCTGCAAGGTCCTCCATTTATAAGAGTCGAGACTCTTCTTGAAGAGCAAGTTTCTTTCCATGAATTTATCTAAGAACTACGTAATAATATTGCATCAATGTATAGTGGCATGTTGATCTTGACATACCTTCGAGGCTGTGCGTCCTCCATACAAAATGCCCCCTCCCCCTGCTGCTGTAGAGCGTGCTGTTGAACCAAAACAATTGTGAAAGCTGTATCGCATCCCAAAAGTGAGGCTGAGCCGTTTCCCTTTTGTTCAGGAAGTTGGCAGTCAAGCAAAGACTTGGTGTTTTCCATTGGCAGGCCCTGCGTTTTGGGCGTCCGGTCTGGTTGCCCAAACTGAGCTCCGGCGCTGCTTTTCCCAGCTCGCAGCTTCGAAGGCCAAGAAACGGAAGCAGCACGTGACCCGTCTGCCAGCGGAAGAAGCGGCGAATTCCCATTACAAGGAGCGAAAGCCCTCGATGCACGCCTTTTGCTCATTTGGAGATCCAATTCTTTCAGGTTTTGGATTTGTACAAAGTTGGCAGATGTGTTGAAGCCGCCTTTTTACATCTTTTACATGGAAAGTTGGGTTTGCTGCAGCCTCTCCCGGCTTCCATGCACGGGAAACCCTTTGCATCCTTTGCATTAACAGAGCTGTTTGGAAGTACCATGAAACATCTGCCCAGATGCGATGCCCAGTTTGGACAAGTGTAGGGGCTTTTCACCTCATCAAGTGAAGTCAAAATGCATGCTGATGAGGACCATGATATAAACTTGTCTCAAAACCTTCGTGGCTCCCTTGCGGGTTCGCTGGGAGACAACCACAAAACCGGTGCCAGCCGAAAACGGGCAGTGGGATATTTGGCAGGGCCCAGGGCACTTTCTTGCTTCCACTCGCAACTTGTCCCAGATTTTTTTGCGCAGCCGTGGCTGCGCATCTGTCAAGCCCGACGAAAATGGCCTCGCAGCGGCTGCCGCTGATCCGATTTGTTTAAGAGGTCAACGATGCAATTGGGGATTCCGTTTGAACATCACTTACATTTTATAAGGTTCACACAAACAAGCACAAAGGGGCCAGACGATTTCTATTCTTTTTCTTGTTTTTTTTGGGGGGGGGGGGGCAAAAGCTGAGGTAGAGATGAGACAAGGGCCCCAAGCAGCACTTGCTTGATCAAGTGAGCCACAATTAGCACCTGAGTCGATGAACACTAATAGGGGTAAGTCGGTAAGTCCCACACACGTAGGGGCGGGCTGGTGTTGAGATGGTTTTGGGTAGACTCCATCAACTGGGGTTGGGTGAATCTGGGGTTGCCAATCCTTTGGGTTGGTAGACCCTTCAATGATCATGTGGGAGACAAGCCTTAAGGAAGCCCATGGAACATTTCTGCCAGCTATGACGCGCAACCATGC